CAGCTGACAGTCGTATGGGTACTCCCTTGTAGGTAACTGACTGTCTTTCTCTTGCTGCTTTTAGGATTCTCTCTTTGTCTTTTGCTCTTGGCATTTTAATTATGATGTGTCTTGGTGTGGTCCTCTTTGGATTCCTTTTGTTTGGGGTTCTCTGCGCTTCCTGGACTTGGAAGTCTATTTCTTTCACCAGGTAGGGGAAGTTTTCTGTCATTATTTCTTCAAATAGGTTTTCAATATCTTGCTCTCTCTCTTCTTCTGGAACCCCTATAATTCGGATGTTGGTACGCTTGAAGCTGTCCCAGAGGCTCCTTACACTATCTTCGTATCTTTGGATTCTTTTTTCATTTTGCTTTTCCAGTTGGGTGTTTTTTGCTTCTTCATATTTCAAATCTTTGACTTGATTCTTGCGATCCTCTGATCTGCTGTTGGGAGTCTGTATAATATTCTTTATTTCAGTCAGTGTATGCTTAATTTCTAGTTGGTTCTTTATCACAACATCGAGGGTTTCACCAGTCTTCTTGAAGATCTCACTACATTTATCGGCAGTCTCACCAGTCTTCTTGAAGATCTCACTACATTTATCGGCGGCTTCTAGACAGTTCTTTAAAGACCTTAAAAGTGTGGTTTTGAACTCTATATCCAGCAGTTTGCTTTCCTCCAATTCTGTCGTTTGTGTCTTGTTTCTTTGTCTCGGCATTCTTTATGCTTCGCTGTGTCGATAGAGTGGCTTTCTGTGCTAAGTGTCCCAATTACCTGAGGTAGACACTCTTGGTGCACCCCCTTGTGGGCTTTGTGCACAGTCTTGTTGTAATTAAGCCTTCTCCCGTATGAGTCTGGTCCCTAGAGACTCGCCTGGAATTGGAGCTCAGAGCCTGAGACTCCCTCCCGATTTAAAACGACAAGGGACAATATTTTTTAAAGAAAAATTGCTTATAATTTCCAAAACAGGATGAAAGACTTAGCCAGTGATGGCGAACCTTTTGAGCTCGGCGTGTCAGCATTTTGAAAAACCCTAACTTAACTCTGGTGCCATGTCACATATAGAAATTTTTTGATATTTGCAACCATAGTAAAACAAAGATTTATATTTTTGATATTTATTTTATATATTTAAATGCCATTTAACAAAGAAAAATCAACCAAAAAAGTGAGTTCGCGTGTCACCTCTGACACGCGTGTCATAGGTTCGCCATCACTGACGTAGGCCTTCTTTGGTCCACCACTATTCTTTCCCCGCTACGAGCCATGCTTTTTCCTAAGACTCATAGGAACATCATTTGAAAATTCTAAAACCGTAATTCTGCCTTTCAGACCTAGATCTTTAATCTACACGGAATGGACTTTTCTGTATGAAGTAAAATAGGGCTACAATTTCAATTTTTTTCTATAGGAATATCTGAGAGTCCCAGTACCACTTATAGAAAAGTCCCTCCTTTGCCCTCTGCTCTGTAGGAGCACTTCTATTTAAAAAAAAACAAAAAACTTTCTGGCTATATGTGGAACTGAATGTGGGTTCTCCATTGTTTTCCATGGGTCTACACTGCACCAATACCAAAGTGTTCTAATTACTATAGCTTTATATATAGTAAGTCAGCCCATCTCAGTGGTCGGCAAACTCATTAGTCAACAGAGCCAAATACCAACAGTACAACGATTGAAATTTCTTTTGAGAGCCAAATTTTTTAAACTTAAACTATATAGGTAGGTACATTGTTATTAACTTAATTAGGGTACTCCTAAGCTGGCCTTTGCTAAAAACGTCCTCAATCTGATTGAGGTACGTTCGCTGAGGTCGACCCCTTACAACTCTCCCATCCACACTCGTCTTGTATACTTGTTTCGTCTATCTCCTTTCCGAAAACCGACTTCTGCGCATGGGCCACGAAGTTTCAATCGCACTGTACATGCACGCCCGCACGTGGTATTTTGTGGAAGAGCCACACTCAAGGGGCCAAAGAGCCGCGTGTGGCTTGTGAGCCGCGGTTTGCCAACCACTGGCCTATCCCATAGATTAAGTCTTCTCACCTTGACCAGATTTTCAAGAGTGTCTTTGGCTATTATTCTTAGCCCTTTGCATTTCCATATATATTTTAGAAAGACATGTAATTTTGAGCTCCGCAATTTCCAGGCAAATTGGTAAAATATCCACAAAACAAACTAGCATAGTGGTTCTCAACTGGGACCATTTTAACACCCCTATCCCCACACCAGGAACATTGAGCAATCTCTGGAGACATTTTTTGTTGTCAGCAAAGGCAGGAGACAGCAGGAAAACTACTGGCATCTAGTGGGTTGAGGCCTGGGAGATGCTGCTAAATATCCCACAATGCACAGCACAGTCCCACAACAAAGAACGATCCAATTCAAAATGTTAATAGTGCCCTGTTTGAGAAACCTTGCCCCAAATAAACCACGGGGCAAATTTGTATGGGCCCATTAAAGGGTAGGGAATAGCTACCATAAACAATAATTTAGTTTTAGAAAAATTGAACTGCCATCTGCCAAAAAAGATTAACACCCAATTCATTAAAATAAAAATCATATTATCTACATATACAAAAAAGGTTTATCTTCATGTTCTTTATAGCAGAGAAGTTTGCAGGAAACTTATTGAAAAGGTTAAGTCTTTAAAATACAAAGTTATAAAGAAATGAGATATATTCAGAATATTTTTTTAAAAAACTCCTAGAAATGAATAAGAAACCACCCAATTCAAAAATGGGCAAAAAACCTGAATATGCAGTTCAATAAAAGGAATATTTAAACGACCAATAAACATACTAAAAGATGCTCAACCTCATTAATCAACAGAGAAATACCAATTAAAACTCATGAGAACATGACACATGCACCAAAATGGGTAAAATTTTTAATGACTGAAAATACCAAGTGCTAAAGATTCAACCACTTTGGAAAATATTGGCAGTAACTACTATAACTGAACATATGCATACACTATGACCAGCAATTCCATTACTAAGTATATATCTGGTAGAAAATACCTATTTGCACCAGAATGAATAAGAATGTTCAAAATTGCCCAGCTGGCGTGACTCAGAGATTGAGTGTCGACCTATGAACCAGGAGGTCAGGATTCCATTCCCAGTCAGGGCACATGCCTGGGTTGCTGGCTCAGGCCCAGTAGGGGGCATGCAGGAGACAGCCAATCAATGATTGTCTCTCATCATTGACATTTCTCTCTCTCCCTCTCCCTTCCTTTCTGAAATCAATAAAAAAATACATCTAAAAAAAATATATATATATGTCCATATGTTTAAAAAAGAATGTTCAAAATAGCATTAATAACCAAAAGCAGAAACCACCCAAATGTCTAACAACTATAAGATAAATTAATAAATTGCAGTATATTCATAGAAGAAAATAATATATAGCAATAAGTACCACTATATGCAATACACAAATAAATCTCATAGTACAACATTAAGCAAAAGTAGATGGATATAATTTCATTTCTATAAAAAGGCAAAGCTCACTAATGGTGACAGAAGGGAAGATAGCAATTACCTGTGGAAAGGTGACTAACGAAGAGGATGAGAAGTGTTAGTCATATCCTATTTTTTATCTAGATGGGAGTACATTAGTGTGTTTACTTTGTGAAAATTCTTCAAACTATACACTTAGAATTTGTGCACTTTTTTGTATTTAGGTTACATCTTATTAAAGAATTTACTTGAAAATATAAAGAGAGTATCAGAATACAACCATGATTTATGCCATCTGATTCTTCAAGAGAAAATTCTACATACTCTAACTCACAATAATGTTAAAATGAAAGTTGTAATTGACAACTGATTTTTTACAAAGGCAATGCAGTGGACAAAGGATAGCCTTTTCGATAAATGATGCTAAATAATTAGATATCCATATGAAAATAAATGAACTTGGATCCATACCTTGCACCATATTAAAAAATTAACTCGAAATGCATCTTAAACCTAAAGTAAACCTACAACTACATTTTTTAAAAAAACATGTACTCAAAATATATAAAGAAACTCTCAAAACTTAACAGTATTTCACCAAAGAGATTGAAACTTAAAAAAAAAAAGGAACCAAACATATTCTGGAACTGAAGAACTGAATAAATGAGATGAAGAAAGAACTAGCAAGCTTAGGAAATAGAGCAGACCAGATGGGAGAAAGAATTAGTGATACTGAAGACAGAAATCTAGAATTACTCAGGTGGAAGTAGAGAGAGAATCGTGAGTTAAAAAAAAAAAAAATGATTCAAGAAGTATCTGACTCATTAGAAAGAAAAATATAAGAATAATGGGGCCCTAGACGGTTTGGCTCAGTGGATAGAGTGTCGGCCTGCAAACTGAAGGGTCCTGGGTTCCATTCTGGTCAAGGGCAGGTACCTCCTTTGCAGGCTCAATCCTGGCCCTGGTCAGGGTGCATTCGGGAGGCAACCAATCGATGTGTCTCTCTCACATCAATGTTTCTCTCTGTCTCTCCCCCTCCTTCCACTCTTTATAAAAATCAATGGGAAAAATATCCTTGGGTGAGGATTAACAACAATAACAAAAAAAAGAATAATGGGTATACCAGAAGAAAAGAGGAAGAAGGAAATGAAGAGCCTATTCAAACAAATAATTGATGAGAACTTCCCAAACCTATAGAAAGAACTGGGTCCTCAAATCCAAGAAGCTAACAGAACATCTAATTATCTCAATCCAAAAAGGCTTTCTCCCAGGCACATTATATTAAAACTGTCAAAAACTAACAACAAAGAGAGAATCTCAAGGCAGACAGGGAAAAGAAGATGGTAACCTATAAAGAAGATCCCATTAGAGCATTACTGTATTTTTTTAGTAGAATACTAACCTCAGAAGATCAGGCAAATTTATCAAGAATAAATGAGGCAGATTAGAGTTTGTCTTACAATACAAATTAATATGTTTTATGAAATTCTACCACATAATTAATACTGCCTACAAATAACATCAGTCTCTGAACATCATTTATTCTGCCTTGCCTTCAAAAACTAATTTAAGCTAGCAAAATGTCTGAATAAATGAAAAGTCAAGCCAAGAATAAAATATTCCAAGGATTTCTGACCACTCTATGAATTATCTAAAATAATTGCAGAGAATATATGTAGAAGTACATAATCAATTATGCTAACCAAATTTATCTAAATAAGGTCTCATAACAGCAATAAATAAGGCTTCTGTTACAGATACTAACAGACCCCAGCAAAATATGAACTACCTTGACAAGGTGATGAAGTGCCATTTCTTTCAGAAGGTGGTGTACTTGGACTATTGAAATGATGTGAAGTTCCTTGGTTCATGTCATCGTTTGTAAAATTCTTTGAATGGCATGTACAACAACATGACAATGATACTTCAGCTTTTTTACTTAAGCTTTCATCCATTGGCTTTCCTAAAAAATAAAAGAACTTCTATTTATAATATTTCTAATTTTTTTTAACTCAATCTTTCTATGCAGTTAGGGTAAGCAAACACCCCAATTTGCCCAGGATTGGGAGCTATCCCAGTATGCAACACTTTTTGTGCTAAAACTGACAAAGTACCTGGCAAATCTGGACATCAAATTTGGGACAGCAGAGAAACACTTATGCCAGAAACATGTAGAGAAGTTATCGTGTTATTTACATGTTATTAAAATCTAATTATAAAAAATTAATAATGTAATAAAGGCACAACAATGCAAGTATTAATTTATACTGAGATTTATTAAAATATCAATCATGGAATAAAGACCTAAAATATCTTAATTACTATTTCCCTTAATCAAGAATTTGAAAGTTCAATATGTTAAATAACAATGTAAACACATAAGGGTAAATCATTCCCACATTATACTTCTATTTCAAACAGAAACATGTTTCATGATGTAGCAATTATGATACATGTATCAAAATACACTTTAAAGTCAATATTCAAATTAAATAAAACAGGTAATTTTTAATACTTTAATATAATACAAAATTGCAATATCTACATTATGTGCCTGTGTGTTTCAATATACAATTCATAGATATAAAAAAAGCTGAGTAATTTATTTTCTCTAAAGAGTACGGACATTATTTTCCTCTCTATACTACAGAAATACTACTAATTCTATTTTCCAGAATCTCATTAAAATTTTAAGTTAAGATAATCTCATTTTCCCCCAAAGATTAATTTAACATCGGTAAGAATCAAAAGCTTATAAAATATTTATTTTTTATTTTTAATATTTAATAATGTTATCAGTAACACATTTCCTTTTAAAAAACATTATATATTCATACATATATACATGCACATACACACACACACACATACATACATATACATACACACCCATGCTTACTTTTAAATTCTGCTAACACTTTAGGTCAAAGCAATCTAATTATGTAACTAAAATGTATACAAGATGGTACTTCAGATTCATTATGTGTATTAGACAGTCTTTCATAAAAGTAAATATTACTAGGCATTTTTTTGCAAATAAAGTAAATGTAATGAAAAATAATATAGATTCATACAAACAATTTTACAACAAATGCTTATCTGGTACCCAGACAAGTAGAAAGATCAACAAGAATGTTTTCCTTTTTATATATTCCATGTTTTAATGTTATGAGAAATGGACAGATAAGCAAATATACCACAGGATTTACTCAAAAAATAAACAAAACACACACACACACACACACAATTATTCCTATGATGGCATCATGATAGACCCATTTCTTACATCTTTTACATAAAAATTATAATTAACTATAATAATAAAAGTGTAATTGCTAATTAAACCGGGCAGCCGGACAACCTCCCGGACGAAGCCGAGGCTGCGAGGGCTGAGGCAAAACGCCGCAGCTGCGAGGGCCAAGCCCCTTGCACGAATTTCGTGCATCGGGCCTCTAGTTTTGATAATAATAAGCATGCCAAGGTTCTTATATATACTCTGAATCATCAAATAAAAAACTACATTATGTTCAAATTTGTTTGGGGATTTGAACATATTTTGCCATATTGAAACTCTTTTGGAAGACACAATAACATCATAAAGAAAGATCTTAAAAGAGAATACTAAGTTAGCTAGAATACAGATGAATCATTCTGAATTAAAAGTACTTCATTATATTTTTTCAGGTCCCAATAAGCAACCTGAAGATAGCAATCAGCTACTTACCACTAAGAGATTGTTGCCATGCTAAAGCAGAACAAAGTAAGGCTAAGCTTTTCCCACTTCCTGTAGGGCTTTCCAACAAACAATGTTGCTTACTGTTTAATCCTCTGACAATCTATGGACACAAAAACAATTTAAAAAATCAATAAACAATTTCTTTCATTAGGGTCTCTCTCCATCAGAAGGAAACATGCATAAGAAAGTTCATAGCAACACTGTTTATAATTGCAAAAGAATGTAAACAATTCAAATGTCTATCAGAAGGATAATGTACCAAAAAAATTCTGGTATTCATATAATGGAATCCAATAAAGCAATTAAAATGGATTAACAATCAACAGGGTGACATCTTTTTTTTTTTTTTTTAGAATATTTTTATTAATTCAGAGAGGAAGGGAGAGGGAGAGAGAGAGAAACATCAATGATGAGAGAGAATCATTGATCGTCTGGCCCCTGCATGCCCCAAACTGGGGACTGAGCCTGCAACCCAGGCATGTGCCCTGACTGGGAATCGAACCGTGACCTTCTGGTTCACAGATCGACCACTGAGCCATGTTGGAAAGGCCAGGGCTACATCTTAAAAATAATGTTGCCATAACCGGTCTGGCTCAGTGGATAGAGCGTCAGCCTGCAGACTCAAGGGTCCCAGGTTCGATTCTGGTCAAGGGCATGTGCCTTGGTTGCGGGCACATCCCTAGTAGGGGGTGTGCAGGAGGCAGCTGATCGATGTTTCTCTCTCATCGATGTTTCTAACTCTGTATCCCTTTCCCTTCCTTTCTGTAAAAAATCAATAAAATATATTTTAAAAAATAAAAATAAAAATCATCATTCTCCCCATTCTCCCCTTTAAAAAAATAATGTTAAGCAGCCCTGGCCAGTATGGCAAAGTTGGTTGGAACATCGTCCGGTACACCAAAAATTGGCTGGTTCAATTCCTGGTCAGAGCACATACAAAGGTTGCAGGTTCGATCCCTGATCAGGACGTGTGGGAGGCAACTGATAGATGATTCTCCCCCGTCTCTCACCTTTCCTCTCTCTAAAATCTATTAAAATAATAATAATAATGTTAAGAAAAAAAAATCAAGTTCTACAGAAAGAGAGGTATAGTATGATATCATTGTGCAAAGTTTAAAAATATGTAAATTAACTGGATACATACATAATAAATGTATTAAAGCAATGCTAGGAAAGAAAAAGAAAAAATTCAGGATACTAGTAATCCTGTTATTTATAAACAAGGTATAAAGCAAATATGGCAAAATATTAAAATATAACAAAGTTGGAAAGTTGGTAAACTAAAGTTTGTTTCCATGACTGAAATATCTTCAAAAAAATTACAGTAGGAACTAGAGTATACCATGTGGAAGACAATAAATACTTTGTAGAAAGCAGTAATTCTGTAAAGTAAAAGTTCCAAATGAGCTGAGAACTTTGTTCAGAATGTTCTCCTTTGCCTCGTAACTAACCATGGACACATACAGTTTAGCAGGGATCAGTAATATTTTTCCAAAGGTTAGCTGTTCTTCAATGAACCCAGCAAATGTTTTCAATCCATTTACTATCTGAGAAAATAAATGTAGTCACAGACTCAATGTATGTTATGACTTACAGACATAGGTATCTTAATAACTTCAAATAACTGCTGAAAAATACTTACAGAATTCATCATAGCAAGCTGGGATGGATAAGCTTTACAAGGAAAGCTAATCTTCACCCCACCAATGGTATATTCAGACCACGCTGAAGACATCATACTTTCTTGTTTACTTCAGATTCCTAACTGCAACACAAATGAAAATCAATCTTGAAACAATGCCATTCAAAGAAAACCAGATACCCAACACTAAGACAGAAATCTGGAAATAAAAATTGGAATAAGTATATAAACAAAACAAATGGAAGTGAGATAATTTCCTGGCCTTATATATCACCGCACTTGAGAGCACGTCTTGGAATCTAACACACCTGGCTGTGTATCCCTACTTTGCCAAAGCTGTGGGCCAGGATTTAGGAAATAAAGGTTCTAGATCAGACTGTGACAACTCACACATGTACCTTGATCATGTCTCTTCATTTCTCGCCCGTGGTCGGCAAACTGCGGCTCTCGAGCCACATGCAGCTCTTTGGCCCCTTGAGTGTGGCTCTTCCTAAGCCTTAGGAGTACCCTAATAATTAATAACAATGTACCTACCTATATAGTTTAAGTTTAAAAAATTTGGCTCTCAAAAGAAATTTCAATCATTGTACTGTTGATATTTGGCTCTGTTGACTGATGAGTTTGCCGACCACTGCTCTAGACCAGTGGTTCTCAACCTTGGCTGCACATTAGAATCACCTGGGAATCTTTTTAAAATCCTGATTTCTGGGCCTCATCCTCCGGAAATTCTGTTTCTTTGTTACTAATGTTGTGGCCCCACCCCATAACAAAGAAACTATATATATATAGTGTGTGTATATATATGTATGTGTGTGTGTGTATGTATGTGTGTGTGTGTGTGTGTGTATATATATATATATATATTTAATCCTCATTCAAGGATTTTTTTCCCACTGATTTTTAGAGAGTGGAAGGGAGAGGGGGAAACAGAGGAAACACCCATGTGAGAAAGACACAGGGATTGGCTGCCTCCCGCATTGCCCCCGACCAGGGCGGGGAGCCTGCAACCGCAGTATGAGCCCTGGACCCGAATCGAACCCGGGACCCTTCAGGGCGCAGGCGGACGCTCTATCCACGGCGCCCAAACGGCCAGGGCAGCCACCCCTATTCTAACCTAATAGTCTGTGACTCTATCGCTGAGGCTCTGAGAATTCAATCTGGTGGAATCTAACCCCTTGTCCTGAAACCAACCACTCAACGCTGGCCTAGTTACTCGGCTATTACCAAGAAACCAACCCCGCCCCAATTGTGGCAACGAGCTTCTCAAGATGGGGCAGCGTCCCCTACATAAGGGGGGTTGGGGGGGAAGGGGAGGAGGGTCTGCCTGCCGCTGTCGCCCCCTGCTGCCAAGTTACCGCGGGGCCCGGGCCGGTAACAGGCTTTTGCTCTAAAAGGTGAGGGCAGGCTCCCTCCTCCCAGGTTGGCTTCCGCCCACCGCCTTCTCCCGGAGGCGCAGGTGACCCCCGCCCGACGCCGCGGAGCCCGCCGGGCGGCTGGGCGGCGGCAGAAGGCGCCCTCCGTCAGGTGAAAGCACTCTCCCCGCGGGTGGCCGACTTGCCTGGTCTGAGGAAAACCCAAGCAACGCTGCCTGGGCTCCGACTCCCAGGACAACAGGACACGATGTCGCCGAGCAAACGCAGCGGAGCCCTGGCGCCGAGGAACGGCCACGAGCCTCTCGCCCCCTCGCAGGCTGCTGCTCCCCGCCTGGTCGCGGGCCCGCGCCGCCTGACTCTTCCTCGCCTCCGGCTCTCACCAGTCCGCTCCACCGCTCTCCCCGACGAATTCCCGCCTCCCGCCCCCTCGACTCCCGGCAACCAATCGCCGGGACGAGCTCAGACGAACCAATCACACGCCAAGACTAGAAATCAAGCAACCAATCCCGGCGCGAGACACGGGAATTCTGCGCCCAATGGGAGGCTCGCAATGTCCATCGACCCGAGGTAATTGGCGGCACCGGAAGACGGACTGGGGAAAAGCGAGAGACTCCGCGCAAATCCCAGGGATTCAAAGTGGGGGCAGCTCCGTTTGACTTTTTGCAACCGGTGGTTGAACCCGTGTGTCAGTTTCTTGGGAAACTCGAAGTGTTATTCTTCAGGTCTGTAGCTAAACGGAGAGGACACCCCTCTGAGCCTTGCCCACCTCTCCTCTAAGCGTTCTTCCATGCCGCTGGATTCGAAATTCCGAGCTTTAATATAATAGAGTGCCCAGGGGATGGAAAAGAATGGAGCTGGAATTGCAAGACAGCCAGGCTACAAATTTTTTAAATATCTTTTAAGTAACTGCTCCAGGATAACTACTCTGATTCTTCTCGCCTAAATTTCTAAAGCGCTCAACAGACTCTAACCTTGTGTTGCCATTTGATGTATGTGGCACAACTGAAATAGATTCACCTACGCTCTGAAGCCACACAGTCCTAGATTCCAATTCCTTGAACTGTTCCTTTCAGATTAACAGTAGTGAAATGAAACAAAAAAATACAACTTCATTTGATAAAGAAGATGAATGTTTATAGACCAATATTCAAAATAGCTGCACACATCTGTTTTCACTTGAATAAAAAAAATCACATTTTGACAAATTTTATAACCTTAACTTAAAATACATGAATATTAGCATTTACTAATATATTTACACACTTTATTTACATCATCAACAAATCTGATGAAAAACAGCATGTTATTATTTTAACAGCAGGTTTTGACCAGTCTTTGAAAAATTATCCAAGAATGTGCACTGCATTCAGTTAGAAAACATATTTCAACCTTTTCTGAATTCCTAGAGGTTGGTTACCTACTCACAAAATATTCCAAAGCCTCAGGAGCAGGAGTATTTAATTTTAAAAGACTACAAAACAGCCTTGTTTAAAAATATGAAAATTCTAATGGTATTTTTAAATGCTTTTATTTTCACAAAAATTACTTAATTGAACATTAAGCATCTACCATCTATAATACTGTACACTTCATGATTTGAAACAGCTACAGATTGGTTCTCATTTAATACCCTTATGAGGTAGGGCCAGTAGTAATCCCATTTTACAAGGAGGAAAATGAAATGTGTCTATTTGCTAGTAAAAAGGCTGAAGTTTAATTTCTTAAAAACCATGCTTTCTTATTAGCCTGCCTAATTTCCTTTATAAGTGAAGGGGTCTGTTTCAAGTAGGGGCAAGAGAGGGGGATGATATCTGTCATTCAGTATATCTCAGAAAGCAAAGAGAAGTACCTTCTACATTGGATACTTAAGAAAATAAAATGAGGATTATGGATTACCTGAATGCATCTACCTAATGATCAATGGAAGTTACTAACAGAGGACTGCAAAATCCTTCAGCAACATGGCATTTTCCGTTTGTTTGTTTGTTTTTCTTATTTTTCCTGAGGTCCAAACATTGTATACATTTTCTTAGTCAAAGATATAAGATTATGATGTGAATTATAATCCTAATGACAAACCAAGAGCTCTTTAATGCAATGGGTTGTATTACTCTAAAACTTAAATAGGTACCAATGTATTTCTGACCATTAGATAAGTTAGTTAAGCATTATAAAAATAAATTTTAAAAAAACTAAATGAGACCTTCCTTTCAGGTTCTTCTCTGCACAAAGACATTTCTGTATATACTTTTAAACCAGTATCTTAAAATCCCAAATTATTCAAGTATCTCTTTAAACATATGGCTTTCCATATTAGTAAAAAATTGAAGCAAACATGTAAAAATCTTAAAATCCTCACCTGTAATTCCATGAAAATCATTTACAAAAAGCTATTTGCCCTTTTTTAAGCCTTCTCAATACCATTTCTTGAGAACTGGAATTTGATCTTGCATTACTATTACTTGCATTGCAAGTTTGAGAGATTTCTATTTTGGGTATTTAAATTCCTAATTTTTCCTGAATTCTCCTTTTTCTCCCTCTCATCGTTGCATAATTGTCACACTGTGTTACTAACTCACAGCTAAAATAAACACTTGGGCTACCCACAAACTCATTTTTATAAGAAATTAAAGGCATGGCAGTTTTTTTCCACTTCAAAAGCTAAATACAAAGACAAATTCACTTTCCAGTAATAAGTTGTTTAAATGTGCCCCCAGTGGGAAAAAAAAAAGGCTCAGCTACTACAATATAAACATACCAGCAAAGTAGATCCAAAGAACTGCCAATCAAATACAAGCAAGCATAATTCTCAAGAGAGTTCTAAATTGTATTCATGTTGAATTGAACCATTTTACTGATTGAAGGCGGTACTGTTCCCATTCAGTTTAGAGTTGTTATAAGATACAGATTCATATTGGGCATATGCAGCAACCATCTTCATTTTTTTTAAGTTTTTTTTTAAATTCCACTAACACTCATGTTTATTATTTCAATTATTGTGCTTTCAATACAATGACAGAGCTGTACATCAGGATCCATGCTTCCAGTGTCCCTGGATCCATTTTTGTAAGATGAAACTTTACAGATTCCAGACCATACACTTGGTTTCTCCTTTATTTGTTGAAGACCTAAAAACATATGGAAAAATTTTAATTAAGGCAAGAATCTAAAAAGGATTTTGTCTGTTTGAGATATTAAAACAGGTCTGAAAATAAGTTACTACTTACGTGTAATAATTGGATCAATGTCTCTTGTCTGAGTGGCAACATCAGAGGCACAGACTTGCCCTATTTGGATCAGCAAAGACATAATATCCTCATATAGTGGGGGAAATGCTCGACAAAAAGAGACCAAACTTGGCAGAGTTGGCATGAAAAAAGCATATCGCTTAGCCTGTGTTAAAACTGTTGGAAAGAATGAAACAATTTTTGTCTTTACAGGTATAAATTCAACATACATAGCCTATACAATATACAAGTACCATGTTTGTGCTGAGGATACTGTTTTCTAAGACATAGCCAGCTCCTGCCTTTAGGGAGCTCACAATCCAGTAGGCAGCCATCATCCAACATATAAATTCTTATGCCCAAGCACTGTGATAAGTGTATCACATGTATTATTTCATGTAATTCTCATAATTTTATGAGTGAGAAAAGTACTATACTGATACCTATTTTTATATGAGAAAATTCGTAAATATAGTTTAGCCCTGGCTGGTAGCTCAATTGTTGGAACATCATCCCGATACATCAAGGTTGAGGGTTCAAATCCCTGGTCAGGGCACATACAATAATCAATCAATGCATATATAAGTGGGACAACAAACTGATGTTCTTTTCTTTTTCTCTTGCTCCCTAAAAATCAATTAAAACATATACACACACACACACACACACACGAAATATATATATAGTTTAATACATTTGTTCAAGGCCACATAGCCAGTTAGTGGTAGAGTTGGGATTCAACTTGGGCTTTAAGCTCTTAACCACTACAAATAATTGTAACATGAGGTGAATACATGGAAAGAAAAATGAGCAGGGTATTATGGGATCACTGAAAAAGAATATAAAATTAACTAAGCCATTATTTTACAAAATTAAATTATAGTTCATATCTTTTAAAGTAGTTTATTTTCATACTATTTTACTCTAGGAACCGAAAGTGGTTAAAATGTTAGGGTATGTTTTAGAACTTAAGAAAACAACTAATTTATGTATCTTATTTATACATAGGACTATGTTTTTCTGGAACTCTACGCATTTGTAATAATTGTAATTTGTTTTCTATTGATATAATTACATTCAGAAAGTACATTTGATTTCCATTTACAAAGTGTGGGAAGCTTATTATTTATTATAAATCTATACATAGTCATTCACAAAATGAACGATACAGTTTGCCTACCTATTCATCTCTACACTATAAATCACATTTGTAATAGAAAAATTTTCAGAAGATGGCATAAATTAAACCTATTAGTGACACAGAAAACAGTGTCACTAAATTCAGAAAAACTATGTACTTTTCTCTATTAGAAGTTTTCTCACTGATGTTGGTTGGCTACACACCTGTCAGCAAAGTTCCCATGACATTGACAGCTAAGCGAGCCACACTGAGTGACTTTGGTAATGCATACTGGATACACAAATGAGAAAGCAACTGGATAGCAAATATCTGCAATACAAAATCCAAATATTACATGTTTCTGAAGAATGTCTTTACGTGTTAAAAATTATTAAATGTTTTACATAACTAGCAAGACTAGCGAGAGATCAAAATTTATCTAAAGCTCTAAATGCTCATTACCTGTTTTTCAAGTTCTGGCTGTGCAATAAGCTCAGGTATGAAATCCAGACAGATGTGCATAGATGGAATACCTGCGACCGTCAGAGGCAAAAGTTCACATGGATAGCCCTATCCCAACAAGAAAGGAGGGAAAAGATATAAAGAAAATAAAGATATAGGTCAAATACAGATAAAAATATAAAGGAAGGTTTCACTTCCTTTATGTAAAAGTTGCTGTATCTATCCTGGCATTTCACCTTTCTGATGCACTAGAATAAATTATCTAAACACTTTAACAGGCTGAAATAAAATCTAAAAAATACGATTTTTCTCCATATTGAAGAGGAACATGATTATTTATCTCCCGTTTCTAAATGATGCCTATTAATTTAGTATTCAAACCCTCCATCCCCCCCCAAAAAAGTTCAACCATAAAGCAACATTCTTTGAAAACAGACCTGAAAGTGAACAAGCTTAGCAATGTTGGGATCCGCAATGTACATTTGGTGCAAGAGACAACAGATAAGGCACTGAACTTCTCGAAGGTTACAAAGCAAATTGTCTTCTCCTTCCT